CGAGCGTAACAGTCACTCACAGTTAAGCCAGCTCTGCTAATGCGTCAAATATATCCTATGCTCTTTGCACCTGAGGCATTGCTGCAGTGAAGATGGTAAACATCTGCAGTACTAGTCCAAATGATGGTAAGCCAATCCAGCTAATCAGTTAACTTGCACACACACACACACACCCACGCCCATGCACGCCACATTCAGACAAGTGCTTCAAAAGTGGTTGCCCTTCCCTAAAACATTGTGCTGCATCATGAACAAGGTACTATTCAGGACATAAAATTTATTCTGATCCTATGAAAACTAATACCAATACAGGGATCAAAAAATAAATAAAGCAAGGTAAGCTACTGAAAACAAAGGAACAGTCCAAACTAGTGTCTTATACTGACTGCATTATTTTAATAATCTTGACATCGCAACACAGATAGCATTTTTTACATTATTACACAAGTTTCTTTCTGGCAATCTAACCTAACCAAAAATATTCAAGGATCCCAAATTAGTGCAATCTAACACATTTCGTGTACTTAAGGGGAGATACGAGTTGAATAACACAAGTTTTGTCCAAAATTACATATTTTTTATCTTTATTTACTTTCAAAAATGTTTAGTTCCTATACTTTCACAACAAAAAACCTGAATATTATAATTAAACTTGAAGTTGGTTGGAATCGCTTTTAAAGAGCACAAAGTGGCTACTAAAATCTGAAAAGAGCTCATTATCCAGAGTCCCCTCGAAATTGTCACCTGGGTGCTTGCCATTGCACTTGGTGTGAGGAGTTCACAAAAGCCACATGCTTAAAATAACCATTACTGCCAAGCTCTCATGATCGAAGAAATCATCTTAAAAACATATCTTTTCCCCATAGATGAGCTTTCACTGACACCTTTGAAATGCATTTTTTTCATGATCCATTTTTGGGTAACTTCTTGAGTTTGGACATGTTTTGGTCACTTCTGATAGCCTGATCACAATGAAATTTCGCACACCCATTGCTTAACATGTGATAGGTGCAAGTATCTTTTTTAAAACTTGATATTGCCGACATAATAATTAGAAACCTAAAATAAGCAATCAGTATGGGCTGAACATTATAAGAGTGTGTTCAGAGGGACCATAATTAAAAAAGTTTTTCCACCCATCCACCACGAGTTATTTAAGAATCCTCGCATTACAATTTTTCTTGTCCATTAAAATGTCTTATATGCACTTTCTTCATAGTTACTTGATCTCTCCAGTTAATGTGGAACAATATAAGCCATTAATAACTCAGAATCACAAAAGCTTAGTGACACAAAAAGTTTGTCCAAAACGACAAATTATACTTTACACATGGCATAAAACGAAAACAGTGCAACTTCCTATAAAACTAATTGCATATTTTACATTGGCAATAAAAGCCTACACACACACACACACACACACACACACACACACACACACACACACATATATATATATATATATATATATATATATATATATATATATATATATATATATATATAGGAAAGATGTCATCATGCTAAGCTACAGGCTAATGCCATTTTTTTTTTTTTCGAATCTTATCTCTTTTTAAATAGTCAACTTATGACTGCTGCCCAAAATTTTTCAGCACATGCATGTTCCTAGATCTCAGACAAGGATGTAGCTCTGATTAACCAGAATTTGCTTCCTATTCCTTCATATCTCTTACTCTCCTCCTTTTTTTATCATGACGATTCTGGGGTGTTACATGCCAAAACCACAATGTGATTATGAGGTACGTCATAATTGCAAACTGAATTAATTTCAGTTCTCAATTGGAACAGCAGCTATGGGTAATCCAATAGGCCTACGACAGAAGAGAGACTTAGTCTTTCTGTTCCGACATGTGAACAGCCTGCAACATGCTAGAGTGCGTTCGGAGGGACCATAAATACTAATGTTTTTCCACCCATCCACCTCGGTTATTAAGATGCTCTTATAAAATCTTGTGATTTCATATTGCCACCATCAAAATAATATCGTTGTGGCCAGGAATCGAACCAGACTGTGAGCTTTGCAGCGCCATGCCTCCACCAGCTAAGCTACCACAATGAGTGTTTGTCACTCATTAATGCACCTGATTAAGAATTTGACAAATGCAGTCGAACACCACTTCGAGAGCTAAAAGTCAGGCTACGAGATATTAAAGAGAAAATCGATTATTTTTCTTGGATTGAAAAACCATTCTTTCACGAGAAAATGCCGAAAAAGAAAATGCAGGAGGCAACAACACCTAGAAATTTCCTGCACCAATTTTCCGTCATGTCATTGCTTTTGATGGCGTCTGGTACGATGTACATAGCTTTTAATAGTTTACGTAAAAATAGTACATTGTCATATAGGAGGGCAAGATAGTTAACAAACCAAGTCTCAGGAAATTTTTTTTTGCGGTAGCATGGCTCGAATATGAAAGAGCACTTAGATATCGATGATGTCACGCCAACAGTGATTTGCAGAAATTTTGGTGTAAAGTTACACGCCAAGTTTTACCTCGATTATCTCCTTTATGATTAACCTATGATCTTAGAGTAAAGGCAATAAAGTACTGAGAGAATAATGTGTTCGTCTGAACTGATTTCTCACTCAACTTTTATAATCCTTCAACTGCTTCCCAAGTTTAGAAACTATCCACAGACTTCATTCCGGAACTGCATCAGCTATATATGAACAACTAGGTTTCATTTTTCCTTCTTCACACTTTGCCCCAGGCAGGAGAATATGAACAAAAAATGGTCAAATTCTCGAAAGTGGCTGTACAAAATCTACAAATACAAAAACAAGGTCAAATGTGTTATTTATGCCCCAAAAAATACGGTGCATGACACTGCACACCAAAATCAATAATAAAAGCAAATTAGGACCATTTTTGAAGCACCTAATAGATTCACACATTGTGCTCATTTCAGAGTAAAAGGCTTCACAACAGGGTTTCAACTTGCATTCAGCAAGCGATCACAATTGTCTCAATATTGTGCCAATCACAACCAAATGTCGCATGCACTCTTGCACACTGCCAGCTTCTTTTACCACAAACTTTTTTTTTCTCCACAATAACAAGGCTGCTCGCTTGAGCATTTTCTTATTTAACCCGGTTAGAAGTAGCTTTCAGTCTGAAAGTGTTGCCCTGGCGCACACGCTACCATACATTCATCAGCAGCCACACCAGCTTCATTGAGTAAGACAACAGGCACCAAGAGAGAAAGAAGACAGTGCTAGGAAGAGGTGGTGCCCTGCGCCAAACAGCACATGATCAGGAAGGAAGGGACACTGCCTGGGCCCTGCACAGCTGCACGCCTCGCACTCTCTCACTCACCCAATGGACACATGCACACACCTCTGCATACCACCACACACATCAAACAAAGGAGTAAAAGAGTACAAGGTAAAAAAAAAAAAGAGCTAGTCCTCCCAACTTCACAGAAGAACAGAGTTGCTGCCCCTCTGGAGCCGGAGAAAGGCTGCCTACAGCAGAAACAGACCTTCAACATGCTACCCAACAGCAACAAAGGCACATCAATTTAACAGAACAACAGGTTACACATTTCTTTGTCTGCAATTACAGCCTAATGTGTACTTGTATCGTGTCTACATGTAAAAATGGAAAAAACTACAGAAGCCAGAAAGTGACTGCAAGTAAGCCTGTGGTGCTCCAGAGGCAGCAAGAGGAGTATCCTTGCAAAATGACTAAAAACGAATAATAAACCCTGACGTTATGTGCTACATTCAGTGTAGAACTTTGAAAGCTCTAAATTGGAATGCAGCCTAGAGTATGTTACTGCACAACCAAGACTCAAGTGCTTGATACTAAAAGTGCATGTGTTTTTTTTTTATAATTGTTATTTTCTTCTGAAGCTTGCAAAAACAAATGAAGACCTATTTATCTATACTAGGTATGATGTACACAAAGCTTTATGTTTAAAAGTTTGTCTATAACTAGATACCCATGCTTTACACTCAGTTTGAGGAACAGCAGTCAGGTCATTGACCCCTTTTAGTGATACTGGTTGTGTACTAGCTCTGCTTCACTTAGTGCTTAATGTTTTTTGTACCACTAAAAGAAAAATGTCAGATCAATACAACACTGCTCTGAATGTAATGATAGAAAAATTTCCTTACACACACACAGGCCATTAGTCAGACCTTGTGCTACTCAATATGTATGCATCATTCCTTTTGTACAACTGTATTTTTTTTTTTGAAGTATTTTGAGCACACTCTGCGTGGCTTCCTGAAAAAACTGCAGCCACCATTAAAGGCAAGAGATGTCATTCTTTCATGACTAACACAAAACACTTTAACCCCAATATTCCAAAGCATACCAGGCTTTCAAACTCCCAAAATAGTGCCACTAAATGAAAGTGGCATGCCAGGCACTTGAAAACACATACTTAGGTTTCAGTGTTCTGATTGTTTTTAAGTCGGCTGTTCCATTATGACAGACATATGGGATGATTATACCCAGTGCCTTGATTTTAGCAGAACTCAAAGGCCGCTCAGTTTTCCTACTGGCATAAAGCAGCTCGAAAGACACGAATAAGAGTTAATGGCCTCTAGCATCAACGCTGTCCACTAAAACAATATCAAGCCACTGGAAACTCTAGCACTAACCTCTACTGCCTTTATAGACTGAAAATTTACAGAGAAAAATTATAAACTGTCTCAGAAAGTTATAAAGCTTTTAGGCAGGACGCTGCATGGGCAGCCATTGTCAACAAAAAGTGCTGATGGCTTGAGAAAAAAAAGGCATCTAGAGGTGCCTGTTTGACATTGACCAATCCTATTTTAGAAATCAAACCAGACTGCTGCCCCCCCCCCCCCCTCTCCCATGATCTTTCTACTTCCTGTACTCACTGCACACAGGGATGTCCAAACCAACAGTGTACAACACAGCAGAGACCTATGTGGCGATTCAATCTCATTGCTGGATTTGGTCGTGCCTCGTCAATTCCCATGAAAATGGAGGTCCAAGACCTACCTGACAGGGGCAGAAAGGCGAATGGGTGGGGCTCACTGGCCCTTCCCCCACTGGTCACCACCAAATGCACCACCACAGGGTGCCCTACATCCTGGTTTCTGTAGGCTGGCACACGACAAATCAGATGAGTCTGAAAGGGGAAAAAACATTTTTTTTAAATGTACAGCTATTCGCTGCACATACGGCCATACTTGTACTGAACCACAAAATGTGCCACGGTGACCAAAACATCTTCACCACTAATACCAAAAACTTGCTCTCTGCAATAAGCCACCTCAATGTCTCTACATTCCATTTAATTTGATGAGGCTCACCAAAGGCTAACACTTACACTAGAATACTTCACCATTTTAAAAACAATCTAGTGTTTCCCCAGCCCAGAAAATCAACACCTTTTGAACAAAAAAAAAGATTGTACAAGTAGTGAAAAGTTTTCTCGCATTCACACAAAGAAAAACATAAATTCCACGATTTCTACGGACAGCTAGGCCTTGCAGATGAGTGCTGTCAATGATGCATTTTAAGCTGCCATGATAGTTAGTTCCACACACCAAGAAAAATATTCACTACATTCATATCAACTTACCGGTTGCAAATATTCCTTTTCCGGAACAACACATTTTTCCCATACATAGCTTGGCTCACAATCTCCCAAATTATCTGCAAGTAGAGAGCAATTTCGTTGGGTATGCAGTAGAAGAGCATTTGTAGCACATCCCAAACTAATGAAGCTTGCACTCAAGAAATATGTCCTTGATGAAAGAAAATATTCCAAACTTTATTATTATATAGAGGAAGCTTAAAATGTATGACAATAACCAATGTAGTTATCGAAATCTAAAATCAAAATACACTTACCAGAAACAGGCTCCTTGAATAACACTTTTGTATCTTTAAGAAAATTTTTTCCAATGATGAACAACTCTATTTCTCCCTTGACCGAGCACTCAGACAATGACTTCTTCGATATTTCTGGGATACCAGGAGGCTGAGCTATTAACAAAAGAAAAAGACACAGCTACAATACACATCCAAGTGTATGCCTAACCTTCCTTCACGATGGTATTCTTTTAACAAGCTCAACTGCCTGCCATGTAAAGTCTCAAAATGAGAACTGTCAGCGTGTGTGAAATGCAACAATCACCTCGACCCCCCCACCAGGCACATATTTTTGCTACTACAGCACATGTCGAGGGTAGCACATCTATTATTTCAATTTGGCAAACAAGTTTACACTGCAATAATGCAACTTAAACATACAAGAGTTAGATATCAAAGGTCACTTACTGCACAAAATGGGAGCTGAAGCAACTTGCAGAATCTCAGAAGGTAAGCCCCCGGTGTCCTGTCCTCGCTGAGCAGGCAGCACAACACGGAACACCAGGCGACACTTTGTACTACGTTTTTTGTTGCGTGTCCCACCATAACGAACCAAGCGCTTCTCGACATCAACATTGCGTTCCTTCAAGATTCCAACGCAATCGCAGCTGCAAAGTGAGTCCGTGCAACCACAATTTAGAATACATTTTCTCGTCAGGACCTTGAGTCATAGTGTGCAGAACTATGCTTTCCATAGTGCATAAAAGGCAAAAACATCACATAAAATAGCGATATCCAGAATTTCTCACATAAATCTCAAAACACTTCCAAAAATGGCATGCATGACTCTTGTGGGAGACTCTATTGTTAATGAAAGAGCTGCTTTTCACATCAGGAGTAACACTCTTAATGATGGACAAGGGCTTAGTAAAAGGTAAAAAAAGAAAAAAAAAGAAAGGTCACAGTTTCACGGCAAGGGCACAGCAATGAAAGGAATAACAATAAATTAAAATTTTATACCAAGTAAGGCTAGAAGCCTTCAGGATGTAATTTGGCATAACTCCACAAAATGCAATGCTGGTGCAAGGGAACATGGCCGCTACAGTAGGAAAAGCCACCATTGTGCTGCCTGTCACTTCTACACACCAAGAGGTAAGTACATAGTACGTACAGACATATGCACCATCTACTGATCTCTGTCCATATAGCACATGCACAGCCACGCTTGTTTGATCAATGTTTGCCACATGCGCCTTCGTGAAACGAAAACTGCAGACACATTTCACCTCTGCTTCCAGCTGCGACCGGCATCAGCCCTCGCTCACTTTCACTCACACATACCGTATTTACTCGCATAATCCACGCACTTTTTTTGACGGAAAACCGATGCAAAGTTGGGGGGTGCGAGAATTATGCGGGGAAAACTTTCCTCGAAAACATACAGAGCAAAAAAGAAAACGAAGTGGCCGCAAATCAGGATTCTCACACCAGCAACTAACAGCAAGCTTTGAGAAGTACTAATTAAAATTTACCTCAACAATAAAAGCACAGGTTCAACACAAGGCAAGATTTATTTGAGACACAAAAAGTGCAAGCAAATAGTCGAGAATTAGAATGCTTGTGGGCATTGCGGACGTACCGGTAGCGTTCGTCACTCAACAGGAGCCCTCAAAAGGGAACCGTAGGACGTCAGTATTGGGTTAATGGCTATTTAACAATATCGTCTGCAGTTTGCTTCAGATGAAACAAAGTTTACCATCAATCCCAGTTTTAGGCACACGGAAAGCCCAACGCGTTTTGGTAGCTTTCAGCTGCCGTCACCAGTAGCGAACACAAAACTCGTAGACTCCGAAGGGCCTACCGGCGGCCCTGTTGTCGTTGTTTAGTGCATGATCTATAAATTTCAGCTTGAAATTAGCCGTGTAGCTTTGGTATTGCCTCATAACGTGACAAGATTACCGTCACAACATACAAAACACACCACAACGCGCACTTGCCAATTTGGCTTGGCATGAATTGAATTGAATCTCCGTGCAATAATAATACGCTTGATGCATAAGAGATGGCGCCAGATGGTGCGTGCTATCATCATCAGTGGTTTGAATAAGCAGACGACATTATTGCGGCAGTTTTTGGGGGTGCGATAATTACTCGAGGAAAAAAAAGAAATATTTCTGTTGGGCGATGTGGGGGGTGCGAGAATTATGCGAGTGCGAGGATTACACGAGTAAATAGATCAAATGACAAGCGGGACAATGTAATCTATTACGGCTTCATATAAAACATGACAGTGATGCCAATGGTAAAAATGCACCCGGAGTGTCTATACCATTGCTACTGCAATAAATGTTTTTCTTCAAAGCAGGTTCATGAAATAATTAGTATACACAGGTGGAGCCAGAAAACAAACAATGTTGTAATCCCATCACAGCATACCAAATTTCTCATTTCTATCACCATTGCAGGCAGTACAAGTTTCAATATCGATTGTACATCAAACCCCAACTTCTCATTTGAAATTTAGATAAAATAGGTCAACTAACTATCATGTAAATACGGTACATGAACTTCTCATGATATGGCTTTTTTTTTTTTGCTCACGTCCTGCCTCTTTTTCCCCCGATTTCTTCTTACCAGTCGTTTGTGAAGCATTTGGTCTGACGAATTTCACTTATATCATGCATTTTTAGCATGAAAGTGTCAGTTGACTAGCTCATCCAGTGCCCTGTTTAGTTTCTTTATTATGCTGTCCTTTAGTTATGCAACCACATACAATGAAACCTTGGTGATACACATCCCGCGGGGTAATAAAAAATATTTGTATTATCAAAAACTTGTATCAGCAGAAAACACGGAAAATCAGTATGTGAAAAATTAAAACTGGTGTGCATTTTCATTTATTGTTTTTCAGTGCCGCAGCAACATTATGCACAACTCTGAATGATTGCCAGCAAAATTTTGAGACGGCATTGACAGAGGTAAGACGGCCGAGTACGAATTGGGAGAATTTGGGAGCAGCAAAATTTCAGTCTTGTAGCAGAAGAACTTTGCTTTGGAGATGTTAGGAACATTTAATATATTGTCCTGGGAGCTTGAAAGTACAATTTTTTAGCAACGTGAAGCACCAGTGCATATTTTAATTCACTAAAAATACACATAACATAAACAGATTTTGAAGAAAGTTTTTGAACAAATTATCACCAGGTGTGAAGTGCACTACCTTTTCACATACAATGTGACCTATCTAGCCCTCGTAATAAACATACAAAATAATATTAAAGAAAGGTTTTGTTAAAAGCTAAGTCCTCCGGAAACACCTAAAAAGAATAAGGCATCACACTCAAAAAGAAATTTAAAAATTGTTATTGCACAAGAATCGTACTTATGTAACAGTGGGCCTTCACTTAACGAAAAGCCTGACATGATAGAACTGTACTGCGAGCTTTTGACAGACAACAAAAGCGCGCTGCACTGCCATTCACGGCCACCTCGTGCGGGACCACCTTCAAGATTGCAGCGCAGGAGCCAAGAAACTTAGCCGCACCGACTATCTCTTAAAGCGTGTGATAAGTGAATCATACTGATAACGCCTCTCCAAGTGAGCAACGACGTCTTATTAATACGGCCCACGTTGGCCTGCTCTATTTCTTTTAATATCATAGGCCGTCACCGTTTATGTAGAACTTCTGATAAAACATAGACTTGTGATTGCCACCCGCGACGCAGCTTGTGTAAAGGTCTGACGCACCTGTTGTGCGTCAGCGCGTGGCTTTTTGATGGGTGCCGCGCCCTCTCTCTGTGAAGAAGGGGCACGTGGCTACACGAAGCTGCCGTCCGCTCTCTCTCCATAAGAAGAGGGGGCGATGCCGCGTCAAAGCCATGCGCTGACGGACTCCAGCGTTTACGTGTGGTCAGGCCTAAAATTACTGCAGCGCAGGTGAAAAATTCGCGGCTGTGAAAATGAACCGCCGAGTGCACAGAGGCTGGTTTTATTGAAAAAAAAAAAAAGAGAAAATGAAATACACTAGTCACACTGCAGAATAAGGCTTGCAAGTATCCGCCAAAACAGCTATCCGGTTAAGGGGGGAAGAGGGTTTTAAATTTTTTTTTATATTTCTTGACCAAATTCAATGAAAATTGTAACCCAGACAGAGTTTTTCAAGCTGATTTCAAAAATATAATTGCTTTTGAAATTGGTTGGCCAGTTGCAGAGATAATTAAAATTAATCCTATATTGTTTATCAGAACAATGGAAAGGCAATTATTGGCCAGAATATTAATATTGACATATGGCTAGATACTATGAAGTGTAATTAACACAAATGTAGGATTACTTTTTTAATATTACAAGTATTACCAATTTTATAGCAATTTGAAGTTTAATCTCCAGATATCTCTATCAAGCGATTAAATTAGTACCAAGAATAAAAATTTAGAAAGACTAGATTGAAAAATCTGTTCCTACATTTGTGTAGGAGACATATGTAGCTACATGCCACCACAAGAATTGTGGCTCTATGTGACCTCAAGACCAAGATATCGCTTTGGCAAGTTTCAAAAACATCGAAAATGACATTCTGAGAAAACGTCAAAAACAAAATAGGCTCATATTTAATACAGAAAATCACAAACTATTTACAATGTTCACAAATGGCCTAGCATCAGTACCCTCCAGGAACATAGTCTGTCTGTTTAGAGTCATTTCGGTGTTGTTTTCGTAGCACACGCTGCAAGTTTTCTGCAGAAGCATGCTTGCGTGCGCATGCTTCAGCACGGTGGCGATCTTTTTCACTCATGCGCTTGGTCAACTGTTGGCCAGGGTTTAGCTGAAGTTCTTGAAGTATGGCTGTAGAAGCTTTTCATACCCAGAATTGAACTTCATTACAGCCTCTGCCACAGCAGCTTGCACAGCAAACAATGATGCATGTTTCTCCTTCGGCGCCAGTGCCCAAATAATTGAGTGGAGACACTCGTTGTTATTTTGGGTCTTCCCTCTTAGGCATCGCCGAAGAAGCGATTCATCAGACAAACGTCTGTAAACTGGAAGAAGCGCCTCACATACATGGGGTGGCAGATTGTGGCGGTGTTTTGGAGCAGGCTCACCTTTGGCCTTTGCTGCGTTTTGGCGGCACCATGAATCTGGGCCCTCTGGACAGAGAGTGTGGTTAGAAGTGACATCGTTTGAGGTGATGTGGTAGTATGTGGCCATGACTGCTTTATGCATGGCCTTGACATCACCTTTGTGCGATTTCAAGGCCCAGCCATAGTAGCTGCTGAGCTTGGTGATAAGCTCACCAGTCAGCTTTCCTTTCCCACCGAGACTCTCTGTACCAGAGGACTTCTGCTTGGAAACTAGATTTCGCAGTGCTGTGCCCATTCTCTTGTGAATGTGGTTAACACAATCTTCCTTGTCCACGGGTATGTATCCATAGACTTTCGCATCTTGAAGAGCAAGGTAAGCGCGGCTGTCACCATCCGACAACAAGGTCGTGTACCGCAGCTTATGCTTCTGCAGCGATCTTTGGAAGAGGATCAGTGCCGCTTCCACCTCCATCTCCCCAGCTTTTTTGTCCGTGTTTTTCTGGCATGCGTGTGCCTCCTTCCAAGCCTGGTAGGCAGGGTCAACTTCTTTTGGTGCCCGTGCGCACCCAGCACAGAAATTGCTGAG